ATACATAAAATAACATAAATTTTAGTATTTTGTTTGGTTCCTTTCTTTTCAGTTTTTATTTATAAGAAACCAAACTCAACCAGAAAAAAAGTTTTCTGTAAACCATAAGTTTTCAAAATAGTTTGTTTTTCCTCTGCGATTGGAGTCCAATGGTTGATGCGTGAAATTTTGACAGAAAGCTATGTTGTTAAGAGAAATCTTTGTTGGTGAGAGAAAACTCTGTTGGTGGCAGAAACCTCTATTGATGAGTGAAAGCTTTGTTTGATGGCAAAAAAAAAACTATGTTGGTAAGAGAAATCTTTGTTGGTGGCAGAAAGCTCTGCTCATGAAAGAAAGCTCCGTTGGTGGCAAAAAACTCTGCTTGTCAGAAAAAGCCCTATTTATTGGTGGCAGAAAGTTATGTTAGTGAATGAAAGCTCTATTGGTGGCAAAAAGTGGTGTTGGTGAGTGAAAGCTCTATTTGGTGACAGAAAACTTTGTTTGTGGTAGAAAGTTCTATTTAGTGGCAGAAAGCTTTGTTTGTGGTGGAAAGTTCGCTGGTGAGAAAAAACTCTGTCAGAAAGGAGGAAGTTGTTGCATGGCGCTCCGTGATTGGCTAAGATTTAGAGCATCCTTTACATGGGCTAATTATGGATGGGCCTAGCCCATTAGATTTAGGGTTTTCCATATTTGCCTATAAATAGGCACACATCTCCATCATTATTTCATGCTAGTTTTTCATTAGTACTTTCAAGAAAACGACCATTTCGAGAGCACATTCTTTAGAGCAATTTGTAAGCAAAAATGATTGTTTTGTTTTGAGAGCTCAAGTAAGGTGCAACACTAAGTAATTGTAATAATTCCTGAAAGTTTAATAAAATCATCTCTCTCTCTCTCTCTCTCAATCTCTCTCGCGCGCGCGTGGACCCCGGTCACTTTTACTGAACCACATTAAATATTATGTTCAATTTTGATGTCATTTTTTCAGAATTTTTATTCCGCAAGTTTCACCAAAGTTCGTTTATCATTTGTATGGAGTGCTTAACTTGCTTTGTTATTTACCCAACAAATTTCACACATGAAGTTTATGGTTCAAACCCTGGTACACTTAAAATGTTGGTAGTGTTTCGTGATTAACCTCTAACGTGGCTCTAAGACGGGTTGACGTGATATGTTCATATGATGCGGTTTACCTTTTTTCCATAATGGTTTTGTTTTTCGGTTTTATTTTATTATTATTATTATTATTATTTTGTTTGGTAGTTGGTAAGTTGTGATGTTTTTTTGCACAACCCTCTTATATTTAAAAATTATATAGAAAATATCCTTGTTGCGTTATATACAAATATCATTTTAGGACATATTACATATAGTTTCATACCATGGTGATTCCACATATATGACTCCACTTATAAGTTATTAGGTATGTTCGATTTCTTGTGACTGAAAGTGATATGAAGTTTATGGTTAATAAAAAATTGAAATTGTACCATAAACCAAAACAAAGTCGGCTTGGGAGAAATATTATAGAGAGATTTCGTAAGAAGCTCTCAACTTGGAAATCTACAATGCTTTCTATTGGAGGTCGCCTTACTTTACTGAAATCGGTGCTTGGAAGTTTGGGTATCTACTATTTTTCTCTTTTTCTCATGCCAGTTTCAATTGGTAAGGACTTAGAGAGGATTAGATCGAGATTTTTTTGGGGGCGGAGGATCAAAATAGGATTATTCAATGGGTTAAATGGGATGTGATGTTGAACGATAAAGAGTGTGGTGGGTTGTCTATTGGGAGTTTGGAAGCGTTTAATCATGCTCTGATGTACAAGTGGAGGTGGCGTTTTTTAAATGACCATAATCACCTTTGGGTCCAAGTGATTAAAAGTTGTTATGGTGATGATGGTGGGTTTTCTTTGTCTAGATCTCACAAATCCAAATCGGGAGTTTGGTTGGGCATTGTGAAGCTCGTGTGGGATTTACATGACAAAGGTCTTATTCCCTTTGATGCGATGTGTAAACAAGTGGGAAATGGCGCTAATACTAATTTTTGGTCAGACGTTTGGTGCGGAGATATGATCCTTAGAGATCGGTTTCCTCGCATGTATGTTATTGCATATAATAAGGATGCGTTCGTTAGTGACTATTGGGATGGATCGGCTTGGACTTTTCAGTGGATTCGAAATATTAATGGTGGGGTGCTTGTTGATCATTTAGATCAATTAAGGTGTTGTTTGTTTTTTCGAAACGAAAATTCATGAAGTCTGCGGACCACCTCTGCAATCCTCTGAGCAGAAGAGGTGGAACAAACGGCTGCAGCCCATAATAAGAAGCATGTTTGTTTTTTAACATCTGCAGACTGCTACAGTAAACTGAAATTTAAATAAACTAATTTTATAAACTTAAAATAGTTCTCAACACCGAAATTTTAATAATTCTAGTCTTAAAACATTGAAAGAGTACTAAAAATAACATGTAAAAAAACAAAAATATAAAACTTTTTTTAAAAAAAAACTTACAAAAATATAAAAGAAGCTAACAGCTTTATTCTAGAAAAAAAAACTAATTTTAAAAAACATAAAAAAGAAAATAATAAAAAAAATTAAGAAAGTATTGCAAACGATGTGTACAAAGTTCGTAAAAAATTACGCACGTTAAAAAAGATGAAACTGAAACAGAAACTGAAAATATTATTAACGGAAACGGTAAAAAAATTAAAAAAATCAAAGCTTTTTTTTTTTTAAAAACTAAGTTAAAAAAATTTGTGGAAACTATAATAAGAAATTGTATCAAATCCGTAAATAAAAGCTTTTTTTTTAAATGTTTAAAAAAAATAAGTTATACAAAATTTCTAAAAAAAACTTCAAAAAATTGAAAGCTGAAGAGGTTTGAAGAGGCAAGTCAAGTGCTGCGCCACGCAGCACACGCACAGAGGTTTTGCAGTCTGAAGTCTTCCAAAAAACAAACTGTTGCGAGAGGGAAAGTGCTGCGCGTGTGCTGCGCCGCGCAGCAGAAAGTGGTTTGAAGAGGTTTTTCTAAAAAAACAAACAGCACCTAAATGTCATTTTGGAGTCGTTCCATTTGTGTAATAGACGTGATTCTTGGCGGTGTTCAATTGGTGCAAGTGATACGTTTGTGGTAAAGGAGGCTAGAATTAGATTGGATAACTTGAATCTCCCTTCAGGTGGTCTGGTCACTAGGTGGAATACCTTTCTTCCTATTAAAATTATCATTTTGGTTTGGAGAATGCTTTTGGATAGGCTTCCTACGAGATGTAACTTGGATAGAAGAGGGGTTGATCTTGAGTCTTTGCTTTGTCCGTGTTGTGAAGTGGAACAAGAGGAGAGGAATCATCTGTTTTTCGAGTGTAACGTTGCACGTCTTCTTTGGCTTAAAGTTGCTAAGTGGGTGGATAAGTCAATTCCTACTTTTCGTGAAGTGACAAATTTTTTTATATGGATTGATGGTATTCCGGCCACTCGGTTCCAAAGGGTGATCAAGGAATCGATTTGTGTTACTCTCATTTGGGTCTTATGGACGTATCGGAACAATCTAGTTTTTGGCAACAACAAGAAGTACAAGAAAGACTTTATGTTTGATTCTATCGTTTCTTTTTCTTATATCTGGTATTGTAATAGGAATTATAAAGCTAGGAAAAATTGGAATGAGTGGATGTTTAATCCTCTCATGAACTAATTTGTTCTTGTTTGCTAGCTCTTTGCTAGCCTTTTTATTTCATTCAGCCGTTCAAAAAAAATGAACAAACAATTCGAAACGGAAAAATAAAATTGTTTTGAAAAAACAATTATTTGGTTTTCTTTTTCAAAACAAAAAACATTTTTTTTCGATTCAGTTTGGTTTCATATATACAAAAACCAAAAAAGAAAAAATTAATTGAACCAAAATATGAAAGTTATGTCATAAATATGTTTAATTTAAGTGTGCTGAAAAATAAAATAAATATTATATATTTACTAGTTCTATTGAAAATTAAAATAATAAGCATGTGTTGACATCGTTTTATAATAAACATGTATTGACATCCTTTAAATTTCTTAAAGAAGGAAATTACGTGTCTTCGTTATGTTTTAACAACATTGTTGACGAATAAACCAATGAAAATAAAATAAAAACAAAAAACCAACAAAAAATGAGAAAAAAAAATCCTAGAAAAACCAATAGTTTAACATTTTCAATGTCAAAAACCAAAATTTTCAATTCGGTTTTGGATTTATTCAAAAACCGAACCATTATTACACTAGTGGTAACACAAACTTTATTTCACTATCAAAATCGTTACATTTATGTTTTTTCACATTGACTTATTTCTGTTTTGTTACTTATTTTCCTTTGATGTTGTATTTTGGAAAAAAAATAATAATAAACTATTTAATTTGAATGACTTTTTTGAAAACTTTTAAACATATAAATAGTTTTTTCTGAAAAAAGTAAATAAGTTTATGGATTTTCATATAAGTTGTTGAAAATGTAGTACATTTTAAATATTAAAACACTGATATGCCATAGAAGTTATTAATAAAAATTAAAATGAATATTAAAAACTAACTAAACATTAATTTAGAATATAGTTTATATTAAAGATCTCTGTAATTTAAATTATGATATATTTATGTAAATTTATTTTTACTTCTTATGCTAATTGTTTATTAGAGGGGAAAAAATATCGTTTAGATATCGAAGTAGTACTTATGCTCCAATGTGTTTTTAAAGCTATAGCTTAATATCATATGAATTTTTAAACTAATAATTTGTTAAATCTAATTACAGAATTATACTGTTATAACAATAAATCTTTTAATCTAACAAGTTTTTGCAAAATCAACTTATAATAATTAAACATTTCGATTCTCTGAAGAGCCCAATCAAAATCACAACGGGCTCAAAGGCCCAAGATCTCTTTATTTTGACATTTATTTCAACAGTCAACGGAGTGTCCGAGATTGTCCCTCCAACGGCTAGTTTTTGTCATCTTCCTCGTACCGGCTACTTTTATCCTTCGTTTTCCTCCACCAATTGATCTGCGAACAGCCAACAGAGTCCAACAATCAAACCATGGATTTCAACGGAAGTGAGTCAATTGGCCGTGAAGAAGAGAGAGAAAGCATCATGATGAACAGCTACGGCGGCGGAATATCAGCGGTGAAGATAGTGGAATACATGATCTCCTCAATGTCGATCGAGCTTCTCTGCAAGTTTCCCGACAACTCCGCTTTCGATTTCGACTATACTCAGAGCTCAATTTGGTCTCCGTTAGTCCCTCACCCTTCAAACCCATCGTCCCCAGCACCGGAGTTACAGAGGAAGCTTTCCTATGAAGATGACAACCACGGCGGTGACGATATGGTCTGTCACAGTAGCAGCGGCGGAGAAACCGTGAGGAAATTGAAGGAAAATGTAAAGAACAAGATTGCAGATTCGTGTGTGTTTAGTTGCTTCAAAATCCATCACAATTTCAGCAATAAGAAGACGACGATGAAGAGAAGGAGTAGTACTTTCAGAGGGTATAATCAATTGGGATCGATTTGTTCGAATTCATCCGGTGTGGTTGCAGATCCTTCAAGTTCTTCCCCAATTCAAAGCAAGGTGAATATTACCTATAGATTTTCTTGATTCAATTATGTAAATCTCTTTCAAAATTGGAGTAATTTTCTTAAAGTCTTGTGGGTTTTGATGAACATGAAACAGGGGTGGAAGAAGGTGCTGAAAGCGGCATCAAAGCAATTCAAGAAGACAATGAAGAAGAAAGAGTCCGTTGCTCATCTCAAGCTATCACATTATGATTATTATTATTGATTATTTCTAACTTATTTAATTTTTTTTATTGGAAGAAATTAGATTTATTTATGGTAAAGCTCTTTTTCACAAGAACAACTTGTATTTCATGCAGAAAGTTGTGTAATAATGCTATGAGTTTAACGGTACATTGGAATAAAAATATGAGTAAATTACATGAAAGGTCCTCGTGTTTAGGGTAACATGCGTGTTTGGTCCCTATTTTTTTTTAACTATCGACAATCTCTTTGGTGTGTTTTTGTTGCTTCGTTGGTCCTTGAATGACATAAAAAGACTGCGGTAAATTACACCAATAGTCCCTCGTGCACATGTCAGAAAGCGTGTTTAGTCTTTATTTTCAAAAATTAACTCGAACATTCCCTCGTTTCCTTAAAACTTGCATGTTTCGTCCCTTAAATGCATTTTTGTTGCAAATGTAGTCCACGCCCCATTTGAAATGACTAAATGCCCTTGGATATTTATTTTTTTAATTAATCTAATATTATTTATTATTATTTATAACTTAAAAAAACAACTCTCTAATCTCTATCTCTCTCAGTTGCAAAATACCACAACCACCTTCTCTCTCTCTCTCTCTCTCTCTCTCTCCCTCATTCTTCTTCAACACCTACTCTTAGTTTCCCCAACCCATCTACCTCCTTCACTTCCAAACCCTCACACTATTGTTACTGATCGAAGATAACAGAGTAACAGATCACACACACATGTGTCTGATGCGATATTGAGATAGATGGCAATTGAGATGGAGATGTAACACGATACAGAGAGAGAAATAGGTTGAAGAGACAAACTCGATGAAAATATCAGTTCCCTCTTTCTTCGTCCTTCTCAAATCCAAAAATTGAAGCTGATGAAGGTTTCGATTTTGATTTTGAGTTTCAGGTTCGGTTTTATTTTATTTCGATGGATTCGTCTTGGACCTGATTTCGATTGCAGTGAGAGTCGTGAACTCATGAGAGATTGAAATTGGTAGCTTCGATGGTCGTTGGGGAAAGGGAAGGGGAATGTGTTTGCGATGACACGTGGTGGTGCCAGAGGAGTTGGTACGGACGCTGATATGTGGTGGTGTCGGAGGAGCTACAGGTTTCTGGCGGTGGTGACGACTCCAACGAGGGCTTGAGGTGTAGACAGATGGCCTCATCGGTGGCTTCAGGTTCGCCATCGGTGACAAAACCCTGGATTTCCTCAAACCATTCTTCTCCTGTCCTGATCGTCACACCCTCCTCATCCAGTCATTGCATCACAAACAGAGCTTGGTGGGTTGCGATGGTAGCCTAGTTACTTCACCAGAAAATCGAACCTATTGAGTGACTGAGTCACCGGATTCTAATGTTATTCTCCGGCACTCGGAAAAGAAAGTAAGAAAAAGAGTAAATGTGGGTGGTCTCGTCGGGGAAAAAAAAAGAGGAGGAGGAGTTGCTTAGGTGTTTATCGAGAGTGAATGAGACAAAGGGAATGAAATTGGGGAAAGGGAAGGGGAAGGGTGGGTCGGTGCATATATATTTATTTAGTTATTTTTAATCTAAAAATAATAAATAAAAATTAAAAAAGAAATTATTAAGGGCAAAATCGTCTTTTTATGTCTGGAGGGATGAGGTGTGCAACTTTTAACCAAACGAGGGACGATCTGAGTTAATTTTTAAAAATAAGGACTAAACGTGCGTTTTGGCATATGCACGAGGGAAGATTGGTGTAATTTACCCAAAAGACTGTTTAGCTCTTAATGATTTATTTATTTCCTACATAATTATATATACTTTTATAAAATCTAATTAGTAATCCCACCAACCACACTCTACTCCGACTACAATGTCTCATCCAGCTAAAATGAAGTAGATTCAAACATTCAACAAAATCGATAAAACTTGAACTAGAAAACGATCCTAAAGCAAACCATAATTTCAAAATCAAAATTGAAAACTTAATGAAAATCGATGTACTTGAAACTAAAATCGAGACTGAAACTGAAATTAGACTTGAAAGTGAAATGAAATCAGAACCTGAAAGTCAAAATCGAACATGAAACTCAAAATCTAACTTGGAACTGAAAATCAAACCTAATTTGTGTTGTAGGGTTGGTTTAGACGTTGACAATGGCAGAAGGGTGGCAGTGAACTACTCTCCTGCCAATAATGGCGACATAAAAGACGTTGAAATTGAGGAAAATCGAGCATATCGTCAGTATGCTTCAAGAATCGTCCTCCTTCGAGCAAAAATCATGCATAAATCGATGAAACTTGAAACTAAAATCAAGACTGAAACTGAAATCAAATATGAAAACTCAAATCAAATGTGAATTCAAACTTGAAACTAAAAGTAGACTTAAAAATTAAATGAAATTGAAACCTGAAACTTAAAATCGAACATGAAACTTAAAATCCAACTTGAAACTGAAAATCGAACCTAAATCAAACCTAAATGGTGTTGTAGGGTTGGTTTGGACGTTAACAATGGTAAAAGGGCGACGGTGAACTATGCTTTTGTCGATGATGACGTCATGAATGATGTTGAAAGTGAGGAGAATCGAGCATGTCGTCAGTATGCTTCGAGACTCGTCCTCCTTCGAGCAAAAATCATGCATGAATCGAACCATTGTTAGATGGAGTAGAAATAGAATGGTCGAGTGTAAGTCCCTAATCTGCTTGTGTATCAATCAGATCCGTTTGATGGTGCGGAATCCCAATCAAACGGATGATGTCAGATCAAATAGAAGAGAAGGAGAAGAAGAATAATATGAATCTTGTATAGTATTGATTAGAATGAAGTTCCCTTACAAGATTCACACACACTAACACACACTCCCTTCTCTCTACCGTACACTCTCTACTGTTCATCACTCAATTCCTCACACCCCTCACCCCTATATATACTGGACTGGGCCGCAAATTGGGTTTACGGCCGTAAACTCTGTTTACGGTCGTAAATGTGTTTACGGCCGTAAACTCAGTTTACGGTCGTAAACTCACAACACATATACGATATTACATAACAATACAATTTCCTAGAAAAGCAAAGTATAAACCATATTTTTGACCCAACAATCTCCCCCTTGGTTTATAGCTTTCTTTTCTTTTCTCAAATGACCCAACAAGCTCCCCCTAAAAAGTAGCTGGCTTTCTTGATAATCTTCATTGGGAGCTTTGGCTTCAGCTTTAATCTTCGAATTCTTCACAGCTTCAAGATGAACATATGAATCTTCAATGAATGACTTCATCTTGAGCAGTTGGGCTTTTCTTCAAGATTTGACATTGAACGCACATTGGGTGAGGAGGCTTCTTGTACTGATTCTTGAAAGATAGCGTTTTCAGTTTGAGAATCTTCAGAGAGAACATCAGAGAGAACAAATCTTCTGGATCACTTCAGCAGGTTCAAGATAGCAGCGGACTGATTGAGGAGGCTTCAATGCAATCCGTCACATAATCTTCAATTTCAGCTTCACCTTGCTTCTGGGGTTGAAAGATTGAATTTTAAAGAATAATCTTCATTTCTTGCTCCTTCGAATGAGAATTCTTCGATGCTCACGGATGAAGCCTTGGCTCAGAAATCTTCAACACAAACTCCATGAGTTTCATCTTCACCTGAATTCACTATTCAAGACAAAACAAAACTAAAAGAAAACTTAGCACAGAAACAAAAAATATTTTTGGATTTTTGAATTTCTTAAACAAGAAATAAAACATAAATAACACTATTTTTGGATTTTTAATTTCGGATTTTTGTTTGGTTTTTAAAATTTTTAATTCTTCCCTAATATTTAAATTAGAAGAAAACTATGAACACACATTTAACAAAAATAAAATGATATCTAACTTTAAGAGTGATTTGGGATCAAAGTTTTTAGACAGCCATAATCCACTTGTCGGTACCTTTCATCTTCACGTCTTTGTCTGGTCGATCGCCGGTATTGTGGTCCACTTAAACGCGAAAAATTATGACAATGTTAGGTCATACTATTTGTTACAAGACAAGGTGAACTTAAGTTCCTAGATACTATATCTTAAGGACCATTCAGCTGACGACGACCAAGGATATTGTTGTCCACCTAAATTGAGCAGCGAGATCTATAGACAATCTTTGAATGTTCAATTGTTAATTGTACTGGAACATGTTTCCCGCTTCCGGATATGCCCCAGTAATCAAGGACTTCCAGAGTACTCCTTACATCGGGTGAGCAGACAATCATTAAGAGAGAAGATAGATTCAGATTATTGTTAATTATAGTTTTTAGAGGGATTGAGAAGTAGAAGATTGCATATGCTGTGTACCAGGTCGGATTGTGAGTCGCGCAAAGGAGACAACATATGGCTAACAGATAGGAGGAATTTCATAGATATAATTTGCAGAGAAATAGATTTGCATATGTTGCAGTCCAGGTCGGATCTCTTCCAATCACGTAAAGGAGGCAACATATGACTAACATATAGGAAGAGAAAGAAAACAATTTTCTACAGACCTAACTCATTGGAATTTACCAGTCGCCCCATCAATACCGGAATTAAGGACAGAATCCGCACATCGAGGAAAAGTTAATCCACGGTTCCAAGTACGGGTTCATTTAATGTGACGAGTGGATTCCCATATATATCTCCCTGCTCAATCTATCCAAGCGTCGTATTGTCAGGCTAAACGGATCTAACTAGGTCAAAATTTGTCAAGTCTATGAATTCCTTAAGTTCAACTCTGCCTAGTCAAGTCCCTTTAGAATCTTTCGTGCCTACCAGCACATCAAACCCAGAGCATAGACCCTTCAACTTTGGGTACGTTACGCAGACTCAGATTGCCTGTTATCACTTGATAATATCACTTCCCAAAACATCTCACTCAAACTCATTTCATTAACCAACATATTTTTGGATTTTTGGATTTTCTAATGTTTTTGGATTTTGTTTAAAACATTCTAATTTTTTTTGTTTTGTTTTTATTTCTCCCCCTAAATTTGTGCATAGGAGAGAAACGAAAGTAAATGCGCAAATTTAAACTATCCTAAAACAAAAATTAGTCTTTAAAGTGAATCAACTTACGAAAAACTCAGGAGTATAAAG